CCTTTTGGCAGGTGGTTACCTGAGGCTATGGCTGCTCCGACTTTGGCAGGTGGTTACCTGAGGCTATGGCTGTAGGTTGTTTGGTTCATAGTAGAACGTTGGTAACGGCCGAAGTTATATTGATGGACTTTTATTATTATTGTTTCTGTTAGTTCTTTATTATTTCTTGGGTAGGGATTTTTACTGGAGCTCTAGCAACTGTTTCAGCTGCGCCAGTCTGCAGCAAAAGATGAAATCCTAGGCTCACAGCCAAATAAAGCACGAGAAACTGAGCCTTTACCTATCCTTTTTAAGGATATGCTAATACAGTACGGGACAACCTGAATGAAAAAAAAAAAAAATGAAAAAAGAAACATCAAACTAGAATTCTGCCAATCCAAACCTTCAGCCCGCTTTATTCTTAAAGGATTTCTAATCATGAAAGTGCGTTTTAGTACGACTTTTGGTGGTAAACTTATACACCACTTTAATATCTAAACGATTACTGACCTGCCATGAATTGGCTGTAAATACTAGTAGCATTGAGGGCGAACTGCGATGCCAAGACATCGAGCAAACTTCATTCGTTTCCACGTTCTTCGATTCCGTTTCGTAAACTGGAGAATCCTGTAATCTCATTGTAAACGCGTATACGTGCATGCGTGTATTCTGCCCCAAATTTATATCAGTATCGTCATCAGAGGCTGAAAAATTCTTGGAGCAAAAAAAAAAAACAAAAAATGCAAGCAGAATATATTAGAAAGGAAAAAAATAAAGCATTTCATAGCGGTCAAAAAAATATTGGTTTTTAAATAAGCACAATATGAAATTCGTGAAAAGAAAAGGCTTCTATAACAGCTGTTGGTGGTTGCATTTATATTTTGAACAACGACAGCTTATACCGTGGCCTACTGCCTACGCAGCTGGCAACTTTTCAGTAGCTTCGACCAATGCCTTATTGCTAATGGGGTAGCATTTTTCCTTTTAGCTATTTATACGAACCAAATTAAGCTTTTCTACAGTTTATATGAACCGAATTAAGCTTTTTACTACAATTTATATGAACCGAGTTAGGCCAATTTTCTAAGTGCGGCTTAATCTGGCCTGGGCGGCCATTCAAAAAAAAAGAAGGAAGACGTACTCTTTTATCTAAATCGACCAGTGTCCAAACTTTTAGTATTCCACAGGCTGTCATGCCCAATACTTTATCTGAAAAACATTTAAAAGCATTCCTCAAAATGTAATTCGGTTTGGTATAGCTGGGCCCAGCTTATGGAAAAATTCAAGTAATATTAATAACGTGGAATCTTTCCACCGTTTGGCCGAATGAA